AGAAAATATTTTTCAACGGAAAAAAAAAAAAAAAAAAAAAAAAAATTTCATATGACATGGATACATTCACGAGACAATAACGAGACATTTCCGCCACACTTCCAATGTTTAAATTTCAACATTTCAACATACAAATGCGTATGTATAGACATAACACCACCCGTATACATACATGTGTCATAGCCGAAACTGTCTACATATGTTTATATATATGTATGAGTCCCGACGGACGACCAAGTATGTATATGTATATGTGTCTGCATACATCGATGTTTGCGTTAGTACGATGAATGACAAAACGACGAAATCTCCCCCACCACTTCCACAATAACACCAATACACGCAATCTACATAAACCCAAATTTTTTAAAACAGTAATCAGTTTGTCTGACGATCGCTAAAGCGTGAAACCCAGGGTCACAAACTCACATCTATCCAACCAAATATATATATGTATATATATATATATATATATATATATATATATATATATATGTATATATAGTGCAATCGGTCGCCATATTATTTTTAATTCCGCGCATGCCCGTTGTTTGTTTGTTTTTTTTATTTTGTCGACTGCACAGTATAATAGGGTCAACTGGACATCATCTGTGAAAAAAAGAGCACACTGACGGAATTCCGGCATAAAACGACATGTACTGCTTGGCATTCGCACCGGAAGCTCCATTTCTGTGTATTTGGTTATCAATATGCTCAGAGGAATCGGAAAGAATGGACTGGTGATTGCTAAGGTACGGCAGCTCGGAAAAAATCTGATCGTTCTGATAAGAAAAGAACACCCGAATTTGTTGGTGAGATCCAGGCCATGATTGAAAAGACAGGGGAGTAATGCTGCCCTGATTCCAGAGAGTAGAAGACACAGTGTCAGGCAACAGGACTCTGCACCATACCACACAAGCAAGAGAAATCAGTCATAGCTGTCAGACAATTTCTGAAACCACCTCACCCCATCTGGCCACCTAACTCCCTCGGCTTCAACCCCTTTGATTATTATGTATGGGGCGGAGTTGAGCGAGAGACCAACAAAAATCTTTGTAATACCAAAGATGAATTGAAAGCAAGGATTATGACAGCATTCACAATTAAAGAAGACCGTCTAGAAGAATGGCAGGAGCTTCCGAAGTCGTCTGGAGTTCGTGGTTAAAGCTAATGGCAATTTCACCGAATAAATTTACACTTTATTATTTCAAGATATTTTTGTGTAATTTTAGTAAATATATTTGTTAAAATGAGATGTCAGTATTATTTTCATTTTTACGTCATTTAGACGACAATTTATCCATCGCACCCTGAAAATGAGTGTGCGTGTCTGTCTGTTTATGTGTATTCGTGAAAAACCAAAAAAAAACCAAACCCGTACGTCTTTCCGTCCTAGAATCTGCAAAATATACATACATACATACATAGTGCCGAAAGTAAGGGACACCCAGTGAAGATCGAACTCACTACTCATTCGTAATTGTTTTAGCGAGACAAGCTTGTTAACTATATATAATTATATATATATATATATATATATATATATATATATATATATATATATATATATATATATATATATATATATATATATATTTTTAGGTACAAAATTTAATGATCGAAATAAAAGTATAAAACTTAATATTACGAGACATATTAAAAACGGGCGAAGCAACCGGTTTCGCACCCGCTCTTCAGCCTTCAACAGGAGATTTAAAATCAACACAGAAAAATGTCCAAGTGTTATTTTCATTTTTACATCATTTAGACGTCAATTTATCCATCCCCCCTGACGCTATTTAAAAGCGATACGGTTGGTTCTGCATAAAGCTTTAACCACTATAATCAAATCATATGTCCAGGTGTCTAGCTGTCGATTCCTAGGAACTGAATTGTTTGACCCTCATACGTCGAAAAAATAGAGTCCAGTATATATATATATATATATATATAAATATGTTGTAGTTGGTGGTTCCAACGAGAGAAAAGTATGTATATTAAAAAGAAGAGGGTGCCGCAAACGTTTTTGGTTGTAATGTGGATTTATTGAGAAAAAAATATTATACTTTGTTTTACATAATTTCACGACACGTGTTTCTGGTCTGGTCTCGCAACCGTCTTCAGGTGAAAGTGGAGATTTTTACATATTATTAAAAATAATTAATTTTTCTTCATGTTCAATGTGGAATATTCTCGATATGAGACATTCTGTTTGTGTGTTGGCAATCCGAATTTTCTTTCTAGAATTGTCAATGAAGAGTTCTGCGTGAAGGGTCATAAAACAATTAAGGTTTGTCCAGCGAGTAGTTATCGGCATTTAATCTTTTAATGTTTTTAGTGACCTCTATGTGCTCTTGGATCTGTTTCTATTTTGGCGTGTTCCTGTCAGCATGCGTGTATATATGCGTGCGTATATTTCCTTACTACGAGGAATTCGTAAACTTATTTGTACTTATACACGCATACACACACATACGCACATACACACTATCCCACCACA